TAGGAGCCGTCTTTTTCTAGCCGTCTGCCATGGCGGGGGGGGGAAAGACCCGAGCTAACATGGGGTTAGTTCGTTAAATTACAATAAAGCCTCGTGCAGTTTGCAGCAAGCTCTCGAATCCGCCTGGTGATTGGGGTGACCGCGAACCTGGCCTGAGACCCCGGATACTTGAGTTTTCGGGGGTCTAACACTTTAAATGAACAGAGTTTTAAGAATTCATTACCTTGTCTAAGCTGTTCTGAGACATGCAGGTGGCTCTAAGGTTTGTACCGCCATACTGCTTTCTAGCTGGCTGTGGCTCTCTGCAATAGGCAAGTGGCAGGCAGGCCACAGCCTTCTCCACAGCTCCTGCCTGCTCTGAGCTGGCTTTGCTACTCACTACTACAATGCAAAATACCAATCATTCAGACGAGTTGGCTTCATAGTAACACTTGCCTCATAAATAATGAAAGAAATTCAGAATTAAAGATTCATATGCAAATTGCTAATTGAAAAATTACTTTTAGAGTACATGCTCAACCTTCAGAATAAATACATTTACCTTCACAAACATTTGATGCATTCGGTAGAGAGGTAACTGGAGTCTGTGATGAGGAAAAAAAAAAAGACAGACACTCAACAAAGCAGAACAATAAAAGTCAGAGTGAAGGGACCACCTCCCCATTTCGGCAGCCATAACAGCCTAACACGTGCTTGCCTGACCTTGCCTTGGTCGCTAGGAGGTCAGATGCCTGCCTCGTGGCAAGGAACCAATCAGAAGTTAGCTGGTGGCGCTATGCTTTACGACCCTGGGTGTGCTTTACGGACAAGCGCACAGCAATGACGCGCAGAGCATAGCAACCACCCTGGGAGGGCCTATGGGCCATAACAACCAGTTGACCAATCAACACAGGGCAAACCCTCCAAGCCTGGAGGCACACCAATCCTGAGCCTGTGCATACCCCTAGACACTCCCCTTATGCTGCCCTATAAGATCTCTATGCAGTGGCTTCGCAGCGACTTTCCTAGCTATCCGCCATGGTAGATGGATGAAAGGCTGGAGCTTACATGGGGTTAGCTCGTTAAACAACTTCAATAAAGCCTCTAGCAGTTTGCATCAACTGGACTGGATATTGAGTTCTTGGGCAACTGTCCAGGTTGGAGATTCCTCAATCTGAGAGTCTTTCAAGAGCAATATTAAATATTCTGGTAGAGATTTGATGCTGCTACTCTAAATCATGACAACAAGGCTAAAGCAGTGTCTATTCATTGAAAACTGCATCGGTGTGTCTCATGGGAGGAGCAGTACATTTCATTGTGAGGACATCACTCATCTGTCAAGAGTGTTGATGGACACTATGACCCCCCCCATACACACACACACAGAAGCTTTCAGGCAGTAGTGCTTGTGCAGTGGGCATTGGGCACCTGGCTTTGGTCTCACAGTCCCACCTTCTATGCATCCTAAGTGATAGTCACTGTCGGGTTCTAATGTAAGCTCAATTTCAGCTGGGCTGCGTTTCATCATGGGCTTGTTCAGGGTCACCCCATTCTGGCCAGAAGCTGAGTTTAGTCTGTGGTTCTTTATCTGATACACAGTGGTCTGCCAGTTGCTCTGGGGTCAGCAAGGCAGGAAGTGGACAGGGGCTTCCTGCAGCAATGGAGGCATGGATGCCCGCACATCTTCTGTGATCTCTGCACACATTCAGGGAGGCTGACAGAGTCCAGCAAGGACCAGATGGCCAGGAGTAGAACCTTCCCAGCTACCTGAGCGTTAGAAGCTCCTCTGGGTTGTCTGGGCGGCAGCTGCTTCAGTTGCTAAGCCTGCTGTGTCAAGCACAACTGGAAGCGTTAAGTAAGTGGCTAACAATAGATGCTGCAGGAAATGTGAAGCACTTTCAAGTGCAGAATCAACTTACTGTCTTCAGTGGTGTAGCTGTTTTCTTCCTGAGGAATAAAAGATTAGCCTTGTGAAACACAGGGAAGATGAAGCAGAGCTACCACCTTCTTCTTAGACCTAAACCATTGAAATGAAAACAGTGGGTAGGAAGACCGCTCTTGAAGAATAGATAAGGATGGACCGGGGAGTTCATTGTGGTGATCCTCCCAACAGGGAAGGGTTAACTGTCTTAGTCAGTGCTCTGTTGCTGTGAAGAGACACCATGACGAAGACAACTCTTTGAAAAGAAAGCATTTAGTTGAGGACTTGCTTACAGTTTTAGAGGCTTAGTCCATTATCAGTGTGACAGGGAGCATGGTGGCATGTGGGCTGGTGCTGGAGCAATAGCTGAGAGATATGTCCTGATTGATCCATAGGCACATAGACAGACAGATACACACACACACACACACACAGAGAGAGAGAGAGAGAGAGAGAGAGAGAGAGAGAGAGAGAGAGAGAGAGGAGAGAGAGAAGAGAGAGAGAGAGAGAGTGAGAGAGAGAGAGAGACTGACTCTTGGCCTTGTGTGGGCTTTTGGGACCTCAAAGTCCACCCTCAGTGACACACTTCCTCCAACAAGGCCACACTTCCTAATCCTTTCAAATAGGGCCACTCCCTAAGCATTCAAATCTCTGAGTCTATGGGAGCCATTCTTTTTCAAACCACCACATTACTGTGAATAAACAGGGGCCCAGTTGCCAAGAGACATCAGAACAGCTCTTGTCTCCTGCTTGGTGACCTTGGGCCCCTTCTTTTGGCCATGAGGCACCTGTGTACTCTAGCTTCCTCATCTGAACTGAGGCGAGGTAAATGCAGAGCCCTTCCCATACCCCTGACACTCCATGGGTACCACCTGGGGTCCCAGGTCACACAGGTGAGGTTGCAACCATCACCTTCCTGTATTCACATCTTCTCTACTACAAGGTGACTGTTCTCTAATGCCTGTCTTCCTAGAGATCCAAAACACAGCTAACTCAAAGCCATTGTGGTGCACGGTCCCAAATGTCTGCACCTACGCCTTTATCTTGGCTTTAATAGAGCCTAGACTTACTGTTGCTAAGGCTTTATGCTTCTTGTTGGAATTTAGCTTTAATTCTTTTCCCTTTCCTCGACTCAGCTCCCCACCACTCTCTTCTCTCCTCCTCCCCACTGCACCCTCTCCTGTTTTGTCTGAAAGCTGAAGTGAGAGAAGACTACTAATAACATTGTCTGTAAGAAGTCTGTCTGGAACTAGGCTAAGCTCCTCACAGGTTACTTCAACCATTTAAACGACCTTTCCAAGTGTGTGTCATGTATATAGTGAAACCCTGTCTCAAACAAACTGAAAACCTATGAGAAGCTGCATATAGTGACATGGGCTTTTAATTCCAGCATGCAGGAGGCAAAGGCAGCCAGCCAGCCCGGCCTACATAGCACATTCCGGGCCAGCCAGGACTACACAGTGAGACCCTGACTCGATTATTTTTTCTATTATTGTCACATTTTAGAGATCAAGAAACATGTTCAGAAAAACTAAGTAACTGCTCAAAGTAAAGCCAAGAGAGGAGTGCAATGTTGGTTAATAAGCCCCCAAAATTAAGGCTTATTTGGTTTCCACTGGGGTAGAATTAAGATTTTAACCATGTAGGCCAATTTTGTATGTGTGTAAGTGTGCTTTTAAAATATTTATTTTATTAAAAATATGTGTGCATGTGTGTGTGCACATGTATGTGTATGTGGTGTGTAAGTGTGTATATGGTTTGTGTGTGTATATATATGGTGTGTGGGGGGGGGAGGCGGGGGGGAGGGTGTTTGGATAGGTGCTGTGTAGGTCAGATTTGTCAGATCCCCTGGAGCTGGAATAATAGGTACATGCCTCCTGGCATGCATCTGGGAATCAGACTCAGGTCCTCTGGCAGAGTGTTGCCTGCTCTTAACCACTGAGCCAACTTCCCAGCTCATAAGTGTATTTTTATAACAACCTATTGAGCCAACATAATTGTATAGAGTATATGGTGGCTTGAATAAAAATGTCCCCGATAGACTTACATATTTGAATACTTGGTTCTTAGTAGGAAGAACCGTTTGGGAAGGATTAGGAGATGTGGCCTTGTTAGAAAAGCTATGTCCCTGGGAGCAGACTTTGAGGTCTCAAAAGATTGTGCTGCCAGGCAGTAGTGGCACACAACTTTACTTCCAGAACCCAGGAGGCAGAAGCAGGTGGATCTCTGAGTTCAAGACCAGCCTGGTCTGCAGAGCAAATTCCAGGACAGCCGAGGCTACACAGAGAAGCCCCCACCTCTTACACACACACACACACACACACACACACACACACACACAAAAACCACCACCAACAACAACAAAAACGTATACTATTCTCAGTGTCTCTCTCTCTCCTCTCTGTCTCATGGTTGTGGATCAAGATATAAGCTCTCGGTCATTTCTTCACTCTGCCAACATAGTCTCAAAACTCAAAACTAAGCCTAGATTAAATTGTTTCTTTTATAAGCTGTCCTGGTCATAGTGTCTCATCACAGCAACAGAAAAGTAACTAATGTGGTGGTGTCATAATACCCACCCAGCAGTTTCCAAAGTCACCTTAAATTCCATAATCATTGTCCCACAAAACACGCTAAAGCATGTTCAGATGTAAGCATCTTCTGATGCCAGGTCCACTTGCAAATGAAACCAGGGAGCAGAAAGTAAAGGTTGAACCTGACTGGAGATCACAGAACTATTGGGTGTTGAAAGTTGGGGTGGCCTACAAATCTCAGTGAGCCAATGAACTCACATTGTAGCTAAAACTGACTCTATGTGAGGCAAGACTCCTCATTTCCAATTTTAGTGGCATCTCTTCTGGTCCAATGTGAAGGCTACCATGGGGATGGAGAACTAACAGGAGTCCTCAGGGCAGCAGGATCCCACCATCCCACACACCCAGATCTCATACAACCACTGTCCTCAATCAGTACTCACCCAGCACGTGGCAGTGGGGATGGTGCAGCAGGCAAAGATGACTTGGAGTCCCAGACCCCACTGTTTCGACCTGCACAGAACATACCCGAGTCAGTCACTGTGCTCTGCCATCAGGGATGACTGTATCAGTGAGACTAGTACTTCTGAGACACATATGCTTTTTGTGACTTTAAGTGACGTGCATGTATCTAGTGACACTAAAGCCAGTGGGCAAATGAATGGGCACAGATAATAAGAAACTTGAGATGCCAAGTTTCTTCTCCCATTGGGGTGGGAGACAGTCCAGTAGTTGGAACACTTGCCACACAAGTTCAGATCCCTAGAGACCATGTATATTCCAGATGGGCACAGCAACTTGCTTGTAATGCCAGTCTTGGAAAGTAGAGAAATCTAAGAGTAGGACTAACCATATCGATGAACTCTAAGTTTGATTGAGAGACCCTGACTCAATGAATCTCATCAATCTCAGGCCATATGCACATGCACCCATGCATCTGTGCCTACACAATGCAAACACACACACACACACACACAGAGAGAGAGAGAGAGAGAGAGAGAGAGAGAGAGAGAGAGAGAGAGAGAGAAATAAAAAAGGAAAGTAATGCCAACTAATAATCTCTTACACAGGCTGTAGGTTAGAATGCTACTCTAATGCTTCTGGAAGACCTGCTCCTTAGACTCATGGGCAAGTTCAGGGATGTTGTAATATTTTGTTTATGATCTAACAAATAAAGCTTGCCTGAAGATCAGAGTGCAAAGCTAGACACGCTAGTTAGCAATAGAGGCCAGGCGGTGGTGGCACACACTTTTAATCCCAGCAGCTACACTAATTAGCCATAGAAGCCAGGCAGTGGTGACACACACCTTTAATTCTAGCACTCAGGAGACAGAGGCAGATGGATCTCTGTTAGTTCAAGGCCACCCTGGGATACATGAAATTGATTCACTCTAAAAGAGAAACAGAGCTCACACAAAGGTAATCTCAACATTTGGAGTCACAGGCCTTTAATCACACCACTAAGGTGTGATATGGAGTGATATGGCTGGGCAGAGAGAGGAATATAAGGCAGGAGGAGACAGGGGCTCAGTGCAGTCTGAGGAGCAGGCAGTCTGAGGATGCAGTTTGAGTTTTCATAGAGAGAGCATTTGGTCTGAGGATTCATGGAGACAGGATTGCCCATTCATTCTGGGGCAAAGGTAAGAGCTAGTAGCTGGCTACTTTGCTTCTCTGATCTTTCAGCCACCAACCCCCCAATATCTGATCTGGGTTTTCATTATTAAGACCTTTCATTATTAAGAACTCATGCTACAAAAGGACCCTCGTTTTGAGAGCCCAGTGAAAACACACAAAAGTCACTTTGAGAGGGAGCTAAGAAATACCACTGTGCAGGTATGCTCAGCAATGTACCTAGAGACATATGGCCTCAACCCATTCCTCCTGGTGCTCACAGCCCTTCTGGTTCATGCATAACACACTTGAGTGCAGTGTCTGCTCCTCATGCACATCAGAGAATATCTACTCACTCACAGCCAAGTGAGGGCAAGAGCTAGGCCATTTTTCTATCTTCAGAAGTGATAGAAGGGACCCAGCAGCCTGGACCTTATATTCATGGCCTCCCCACTTGCCTGGCTGAAAACAGAGCGAGACAACCATGAGAGAACCAGTTAGAGAGACAACAGATTCCCCACAGGGGTAGCTGCTTGGACACTACTGCTCAGTAAGACAAGAAGGCTCCTGATGAGAACTTTGTGGGGTCAAACTGAACTGAATAAACATTGTGTGTGGCGTATATACAGGTGTCCTGCCCCATTATTCCACCTCATTCCTTTTAGACAGGGTCTTTCATCAAATCTGGAGCTAGGTTGGTAGCCAGCAGGTCCCAGTAACCCTCCTGTCTCTACCTGCCACAGTGCTGGAGTTTCGGTTGCAAGCATGCTCATGCCTGACTTTTTACATATATGCTTAGAGAGCCAAACTCGGTTCTCATCTTGACCAGTAAGTGCTCACACTCACCGAGCCATCTCCCAAGCCCTGAATAAACACCTCACAAAGAGGCTACTGTATAGAGAGGTCCCCAGTTCCTAATGGATGTGCAGGAGATGCCCTGTAAGCTTGGGTCAGATCCATTGCTCCATGTACAGTTTTCCTGTAAACACAGAAAGCAGTTACCAAGTATTGCTGAGGACCTGGTCTGTAGAAGCCCTGAGAAGCATCCACAGGGCCTGTGGAAGGAACCTAGAAGGAGAGACATATGTGTCCTCCTGGCATCTCATCCTGGAGAAAAAGGTCTTGGAGGTATTTTAAGTCAAGCCACCGGGGAATTCTTTCCATCTACTCTTCCTCACACAGTACTTGCTGAGCACTAATGTCACTAAACAGTGGCAAGCCAGCCAGGGTGGTCCTGATTGCTCTGGGCCTTTACCAGGACCCTGTGGAGCTGGGCCTTCTCCAGCACTGCTCCTGTTTATGGCTTACTTGACTTAAACGCAGTTTAGAAAATATAGAAGAAAGGAAACCACATCCATAAGTGTTAGGTCGTAGACTGTCCAGATATCAAGAAGGGAGCTCAAGGTTGGCTAGAGAAGGATTTCTGGCCTATAGACAGAAGTTAGCATTCCTTAGAAACTTGTGAAATGGCCCCCACCCCCTCCCCACCCCACTCCCCTCCAAAAGGAGTCATTTCCCTTGGCTCTCCATTGACTATACCCAGGGCAGCGCTCAGCTTACCAACACCCAGGCTCCCTTAGTCTCACAAGTACCTGTTATACATTTCAAAGTCCATGCTAGCATCTAGGCCCTTCCGTCTCCCAGCTACTCATCCTCCTAACAATCCACATGATATGTTCACCCCACACCCTCTCTCTCTCTCTCTCTCTCTCTCTCTCATGCTGTTCTCTGTCTTGCTGTCATCTTGCTCTCTTGCTGTTTTCCCTATTCACTCTCCTGCTATGCTCTGTTCTCTACCTCTGTCTCCACTATCTCTCCAGCCCCTGCTTCCCTGGCCACCCCCTGGTCATGTCCAGTCTCTCTCTCTCTCTCTCTCTCTCTCTCTCTCTCTCTCTCTCTCTCTCGCTCTCTCTCTCTCTCTCTCTGTGTGTGTGTGTGTGTCTCATATTCTGGACTCTTCCAGGTGCCTCTGGATATTTTTTCTCTTTTACACAGTAAAAACTTCCCCTGACGATGGAGCAATCATGTTGGCAGTTTCATTACTGCGCCTCCTCATAGAGTAAGCTATACATGTGGCATGAAAAAAAAGAGGGCTGTCATCTGACTATGGTGTGTGAGTTCCACTGTGAGTAAAACTGAGCATTAAGGTTGACAGTAGGAAGAAAGGCTAGCTACTCATACTCAGATAGAAGAATTCAGGGCAGAGGAGACAACCATGTCTGAAAAAAAAAACGCAGGAAGCAGATAAGAGATCTAAGTCAGACCCCACCCCCACTCCACCCTTTGTTAGACCCACTCACTGCCTGATTTGTCTACTGAGTTAGCCTTTCCTCCATGTCCCCAACCAGGGTGCCAACACGCCCCCCTTTCTTTCCTCTCCAGAAACAGCCTTCTAGCCGCACTCTAGTGAACCAGAGCATGTGCTCTTAGGCCAGTGAGGTGGCTCAGCAGATAAAAGTGCTTGCCACCAAGCTGGAGGACCCAAGTTCAGTCCCCAGAACCCACATGGTGAAAGAAAGACCCGACTTTACAAAGTTGTCCTCAGATCTCCTCGTGTGTACCAAGGCATGAACATGCCCTGTTCCCTGACAAATACATTTTTTAAAAAATCCACCACGGTCTTACATTAGGAAGACAGCATTCTAGCTATTTCTCTGTCATGAAACTGGCTGGGTGGTCTCTTAGAAACACCATCTCGGGTGCTCCGTGAAGTGGGGACACTTCTCAAATTCACTTTTTATCGTCAGACAACAGGATAAATCTGACATTTTAAAGAATCAGCCAGACACAGCCAGAATCTGGGAAAGGAGCAAAACTTTCTGATGACTAAAAACTTTACAGTGAGGGAAAAGAGCCCGATGTGCAGGGCCACCTAGTGAGTGAGCCTGTCTATCCCAAATGTCAGCAAAAGCAGGTTTGCAGCCATGGATACAGGCAAGTGGTTGCTGGAGCCAGGAGTGGGAATAGCACTGACTATATAAAAATGGACTCAAGGGATCTTGGGGGCTGGGTGGGCATGGAAATTTTCTAAAAGTGAGCAGGGGCAATGATTACACAATGTGTTACCATCAATGCCACAGTTCATAGAAATCACTGACTTTATACTAAGATGGGTGAGTGTTCTATATAATATTCAAATTATAACTCATAAAGGATTAGTAAGCAAGACGGTTATTAGTATCTTGTGATGAATGCCCCAGTGTCTCTGGGTGCTGGCAGAGCTCTAGGGACTACAGAGGTGCCATCTGCACCTCACTAACACCAAGTGGAACAGATGGTGGCTCAGACAGGCAAATGCTCCAACCAAGAGTTTGTATCATTCCTTGGAGGCTTGCTGGGCAGGTCAGGGTCACTGTTGTCTTTCTCCAAAGGAGGGTGCTAGGGTATTTCTGAGACTGAGAAGGGAGGATGGAGACAGACGCCTCTACTCACCAGCTAGGCCCTTCTGCTCTCCCAGAGTGCAGCCAGATCAAGAGAACCATCAGTGGGATGACCCCAGCAATGGTACAGCAGGCACCCACCTTCCTTTCTGAACATGCCCAGTACTTGGTTGGGACACTCTTAGGGAGATGTGTGATTGATGATGTACCAAAAACACGAAAGTAAAAGGGGAAAACAAGCTTCAGTCTCTCTATCTGCCCTGAGCAGAAACTTACAAGTGTGTGTTTTAAAGGTGAGGTTGGGTGGCAAGTTCTGCTAACTTTCCCAGTTAGGAAATTCACTTACAGTGTGTCCCGCTCCTGTGTGTTTCCCACATCACTCTGCTTCAGCTTCATATTCCACATCTGTTCTGCTAACCCCACCCCCTATGTCAGCCATGTAAGCCCCAGTGCTCCATCTCTTTGCAAGCATTCTTGAAGACTGCTATTTTCTGCTATTATTAGACTATGTAGCATCCCATCTCGGAAGAATGCACACAAAAGATTCCACCCAGAAATTCTGCAAAAATTTGGGCTGCACTAGTGTGCAATTCAGTTTGCACATTTTATAGGGATTTGTATATTTCAAGGTTTTTTGTTTTTGTTTTTTTTGGCAGGAGGAACAGAATTATAAATGATACCAACTTAGAGAAAGCTCAGAAATACAGATTCCGTCTATCCTTTCCTGATAAACGCTACAGACCAGCCAGCCATTATGCTCTCTCCAGATTCCCATTTGGAGACATCCCTATGGACTGAGTGGTTTGGTTTCTTCAAACTTGTGGTTCTCACCTGGCTAGATGTTGATCCTTACTCAGAGATAGTTGGCACCATATGGGGATACTTTTGCCCATCATGTTTAGGGAGATGATTTTGGAATCTAGTGGGTAGAGGTCAGGGCAATAGCAGGAAGCCTGTGAGCCTGGACAAGATTAAAACTTTGCCCCCCATTATCAGGAAACTTGGGAATATAGGTGATTGTTCACGTATGATCTTAGTTGTGTATCTCTTTTGGAACAGATTCTAAAAGAAGCCAAATACTTTACCTGTGACAGTCCCTGGAGGTGACATTGGCTTGGAGCAGCTGTTTGGCTTGGTTGATCTATTCACCATAGGAGCTGAAACACAAATATGAGCACATAGAGTGGTTACAGGCATGTTCCACTGAAGAAAGTTCTCGTAGAGAGAAAGATGATCAGTCAAACCTGCAAAGATTGAATCACAAAACCATCTGAAGAAATCTTCTCAAGGGGAAGCCAGGGTTGGATATGTTAGTGATTAAATGAATGAAATAAGACGATTTGCTAAAGTACACATGGATCAGAATGCCACCCACCTGGGAGGATAGGAGACAAAAGAAAGTTGGCTTTCTTTTGTTTTAATAAAAAGTGTATTAAAGCTAAACATGGTGGTGCCAAATTAACTACTCCTCCTTCCCTTCCATACACAAATACTCTTGGATTTTGAGATGCTTTGCAGGAGGAGAGAGGGGGTATGCAGGTATTGTTTTGTGCAATATGTTGGCTCATGCTTGGGGAGTACAGGAGAGTGATTACAAAGGAGAAGAACCTGTCAGTTCTGAGCTCCAACTTGAGCCCCAACCTACTGCAGGCTAATTTCTAAAAGCTTTCAGGCACTCCAAACTCTGAATGTTTACCTTTCTCAGCAGGCAGTGGGATGCTTTCTCTGGGGTGGATATAGTTTTCATCGTGATCTTCCACAGGGACCACATAATCAGCCTAAAAGAAACAGAAGTGAGTGGAGAGGGTGCTTGCTAAGTTCATAGCTAACTGTGGGGGAAAGATATTTGTTTTTATGACTGCTTTCATGGACTGTAACTCACATACTATAAAATGTCACCAGGTGAGGTTAACAGTGGGGTGCCTTTTGGCACTTAGTTATCTGTTGGATCTGCAAGGGGCTTGCCTACCAGACTCTGTCCCATGAATGTTGCATAATATCAGTTGTATGTTTTGTGCTGAAACATCAGGAGCAGATGCAATTTATAGAAGGAAGAGTTTGTTTGGGCTTAGGGTTCTAGAGGGATAAGCATCCATGATGGCGGGGAAGCATAATAGCAAATAGAAGCCATGGCAGCAGGAAGCTGATGGCTCATGACTTTAATCATGTGTGAAACAGCCTTATCTGGACGTGGGGTGAGATGATATAAACTCAAAAGCCCAGCTCAATGACATACTTCTTCAGTAAGGCCACACCTCCTGAACCTCCCCAAGCAGTGCCACCAGCTGGGCACCAAGTTTCAAATGCCTGAGACGATGGGGGCCATCCTCATTCAGACCACCATGTCAGTATTCAGCCAATGCCTGGATACTTTAGTCTCTAGGCTTCTAAAATACCTAGTATGACTTTAGGTGTGTTTTGTAGTTTGGCTCTATATTCCTTTGATGGCTTCTGCTTAGGTACTTACTGTCCATATGCATATCTTTGGCTATTATCATCCTTTTCCACTTTTAATCGTGTGGTTTGCCTTTCTGTTGTTATGGTATATTAGTTCCTTGTATGTCCTAGATATAAGTCCTGTATAAGATGCACCACTTGCATTTTTTCTCCAATTTTGAGTCTCACTGTGTGCATAGACTAGCATTGATCTGAAGTCCTCTTGCTTCAGCTTCCTTCTGCTGGGATTATAGGAATGTGTAACACTTTCTTGATGTGTCCCTTCTGGTACAAAGATCTAAATTATAAGTCCACTTTGTATATCTTTTTTCTCTGCTGTTTGTGTCTTGGTATCAAAAAAATAAAAAAAAACATGTCTAACTCAAGGCTATAAAAATTTCTACTTATACTTTCTTCCCTCTAAGAGCCCAATAATTTCATATCTTAAATTTAAGCCTATGACCCGCCTCTTGTTAATATTTCATATGGCATGAGATAGGGTTCAATTCCTTCATTTTGCATGTGGATATATAGTTTTTATAGCACTGTTACTTTTTTTTGCTGTTTCTCATCTCTTCTTCACCTTCAATAGGAGCTGTCCTATCTATACTGCCTAGAATCCAATCTATTTAGAGTAATGCTATTTCCAGAATTTCTGGAACCAAGACATTTTTATTCCAAAAGAGCAATGACAGAAAAGACTCAATCCAATCCCAACAAATTCTGTTTGTTCAAGGAGGAGTATGTGCAATGTGCACTTCCAGTACTGCTGTTTCATGATTAAAATTGCTACCTGCCAAAACATGTGTATGATGAAGACCCATCACAATCTGTACCTTAAAGAGACTACCGGCATTACTGTGATGTTTTGATATAAATTCCATTATCCCATGGACAATCTATAAAACCATAGCTGTAGCATCAGCCTGGTCTACATAGTGAATTCTAGAACAGCCAGTGCTACATTAAGAGACCTTGTCTCAACAAAACAAAACAAAAAACCTAACAAACAAAAACCCAAACAATAACAAACACAACAGAGAAAAATAAAAACGTTTTTGGGGATACACGAGATTCTGAGTACTAGAAAAAGAAAAAATATAGGGTTTTGTCTTTTTCTTTTTTGTAGATTCTTTTTTTTTCTCTCTCTCCTGAGATAAGGTCCAGTGTAGCCTAGCCTGGTCCTGAACTCCTGAGTGCTGGGACTACTGGACTCTGTCACCACTCCTGATTCATGTGGTGTTGGAAATGAAATCCAGTGCTTTGTTCATGTCAGACAAACCCTCTACCAGCTGAGCCATATCTTCAGGTCCGTGTGTGTGCAAGGACAGGAGCACACTTATGCACAGAGGATAACTTCAGACCCATGTGTGTGCAGGTACGGGAGCAGGAGTGTGCACAGAGGATAACCTCAGACCTGTGTGTGTGCAGGTACGGGAGCAGGAGTGTGCACAGAGGATAGCCTCACCTGCTGTTCTTTTAGTGCTGATCACTTTGTGGCTGTTTGTTTGATTTTTTTAAATTTTAATTTTATTTACTTTTCTTTTTGGTTTTTCAAGGCTGGGTTTCTTTGTTTGACAGGGCCTCACATCCATCTGGGACTCATTCGCTATTTAAGTTAGGATGGTCAGCCAGTCAGCCTTGCCTGAGGGATCAACCTGTCTCCACCAGTGTTGGGATTACAGGCAAGCCTCACCACCCATAGCTTTTTAATGTGGGGTCTGTGGAAATTTAACTCTAGTCTTCCTCCTTGCAAGACATATGCTTTACCAACTGAACTATCACCCAGTCCCTTGTTTTGGTTGTAACCTTTTTCAAATCTCAACTTTCCATCTGCTCCTTGGAGAACACAGCATCCTCTACACTTCTTTCCCGCTGGTGCAGGCTTTCTCCAGCCACCTCTGCAGGGATGCTGTGTGCAGAACTCTGCCTGGCCTCACTGTGTGCAGAACTCCCCCTGGCCTCACTGTGTGCAGAACTCTGCCTCACCTCACTGAGCTCCCTCCCACCTAATCACAGAAATGGAGACCCTGGCACAGTCTATGGTGTCCCTTTGCTTTTCTGTGTCCAAATTCACATCTTCATGTGAATTTGCCAGTGGCTAAGAGAGTCTTAGTGGTTTCTTTCTCTCTTCTACTCAACTGCTCCCTGCCGCCTATGTCGTTCTTAAAGAGACAGCATCACCTCTCTCTGACACATAGGTTGAGAAACCACCCTTCCCAAAGTCTGTTGCCCTCTGCGTTTCACCATCCCTAGAGCAGGAGTCAGGTTCTGAAGTGTATAGAGGTGACAGGAGTGAGGAACCCCTCCGGATGAAGGTGTGTATATATACTACGGTACAGGAGCGGTGAGCCCATGGGAAAGGAAGAAAGGACCAAGATTCATTCCCTACTGAGCTGAGCTATCATGAGGCTCAGCAGCTCCTGACTCTGTGCTGGTTTCCGCCACCTTCAGTCCTCGGGAGAAACTAGAAAACTGGCTTCGTAAAAAGTCTGGAATATGATAGGAACATGTGTGTGTGTGTGTGTGTGTGTATGTGTGTGTGTGTGTAAGAAATATATCTCTATCTATATATTTATTAAATAAATATTAAAATCGTAAATATTAAAATTTTAAAATTTAAATTATATTTAAATAATATAAAAAGCAGACCCAGGGATGCTGGCCAGTTCTCCCAAAATCAAAGAGCTGACGGGACCAGAAGGTATTTAAACTTAGAAGCTGTGTGTTCTGTGAGTTAAAAGATTCTCTTTTCTGTCTCCTGATGGGAAATTATAATAAGATGCAAATAAAGGTCATTTCACAACAGGTTCCCAAGCCCCAGCTTCTATCACCTGCAGGCATCTCAAAGCAAGTG